GCTGTGAGGCACAGCTGAGCTTTATAGCTCAGTGTGGGATCTCTGGGTCACAGCTCTCATTCTCTGAAGACTCTAGAATCAGTTGGTGTAGAAAAACCTTTTATTATGCCAGAGAGCCTTGGTGGGCTCAGAGGAGTCTAAGCCCTCTACCAGAAATGAAAGCCTCCTTGTACAGGGACATACTGGGTAGGCCAGCATGCTCACTAAAGCACGGGGACAAAGTTCCAGAACATTCCTGAAGTAAAGGGGTGCAGTTAGAGAACATTCCTGAAACACATGGCTTGTGAGCATGAGAGTGGGTGGAGCTTAACAGAATCTTCTTGTGAGGGGGCAGAGTTTAACAATACTCCTGAAAGTTCACACAGTTCACACAGTCCCAAACCATTTTCGTACACTGGGTGGGAGCTGAGCAACAGAAACTTACATTTCCAAATTGAAGAATTCTGTGGAAAAAAAAAAAAAAAGTGGAGGCAAGGCAAGGACCTGTGTAGCGCTTCTATGTCACCTGGTACACAGAATCAGAGGCCCAATCCAGAAAAGGGTAGGATGGAGTATGGAATACAGTGAAAACAGGCCTGGCTCCTGCTGTGTGATGGTGGAAATGACATTTCCCTCCTGGTCATGTTTCCCTGGTCATATTATGAGAGAGTTGAAGTTCACCAATTCAGCCATCCCAATCCTCCCTTCCCTAAGCATCTCAATTTCTTCCCACTGTGGACTCAAATCAGGACCTTGGACAAGCTAAGCAAGCTGTGTAGGATGGAGCTACATACCCAAATCTACTTGCATTGTGTCTAGATTCAGACCTTTGGAATTCACCAGGGCCATGACTTGAGCTCCTGCTTAATAGCTCGCACCTCTCCTCACTTTCTGATAGCCACATCCTGAGTAACTCACTCCCTTGAGTGTGGGCCTCACTTAGTGACTCATTGGTGTTTTGTTGTGTATTAGCAGTGCTGAAATGTAGCCTAGGGTTTCATGCATGGTAGGCAAGTGCTTTACCTCGGCCACTGTCTAGACCCTGACTCATTTTTAGCTAATAATATGGCAGAAATCATGTAATGTCATGGCCAAGGTTCACACAGAAAATGGCTACAACTAATGTCCTATTCTCTCCCTCCTCTGTTTTCTCTCTGCTTTGTTCTGTCGTCCTTTCTAGTTCTCTGGCTCTGGGGAACCATTGCTATTTCTGTGTCTTCCTGGAGAGGCTGATGAGTCTTCAGAGAGAGAAAGGACAACAGTCAGAGGAGACGGTGGGCTTCTGTACTAACTGAGTCTTTGCCTGTAACCACGTGACAGAGCCTGAGAGCAGATTCTGTCAGAGGGGCACATCCACTGAACCTACAGCAAGGCCTCCTGAGATATCATGGAAGAAGCCACCGCCCCGGAAAGCCCCCTGGATCCCTGCTCCACAGAAACTCTGAGAGAACCAAACTTGGCCTGTTGCATGGGATACGTTTGAAGGTGTGTTTCATACATAAGTGGGTCACTGATACACTATAGCAGACCTGCGATTCTGGCCCTGCTCTGGTCTCTCCCTCCTCTCCTTTCCTCCCTGATTCTCTCCAGCCACAAGGTGCCCGCTTCTCACCTCTTTTCTGATTTAAGAACAATTTTGATTTTAAATCTCCAGATCCCTGATCCCTGGCCACTGCCACACACTCCCAGCCTTGGGTAGGACTAGGTCCCTCTTGTCATCAGCTACAGGCATCAGTGTCACCTCAGGGAGGCCTTTTCAGTTGCCCCCATGTGGTGGCCTCAGCCCTCTGTGTGGCACTGCTTTATTAGGTAACCTAGCACTCGGTCATCTCTTCCACTACATTCCTTGGGGCTTTGTCCCTCTCCTCCTCCAGGCTGTGAGCTCCTAGATGGCAAGTAACATATTGGCCTTTTCTGTGCAGGTCCCAGGGCTCATTCAGCCCAGGAACAAGGTGAGAATTTTAGGCATAGCGATTAATTAAAGAAATCAGGGAACTTTCCCTCTGAACTACCCGTGTGTCGCACCTATGATATCACTGAGTGCAAGAGTGTGTGTGCGTGTGTGTTTATAGGTGTGTATGTACCATTTGGAATGCTGCTTGAAATCATTTCCCCACGGAATGTTTCTAGTGAGGGCCCCACGAACTTGGGGGCTGCTCCTCCAAAGCCTTCAAGTTGTCTGAGTCCTTTGCTATGAGCTCTTTCTCCTACGAACTTTTCCATTCTCCTGGGTACTCTGCCCATGATCTGTGCCTTTACCCTAGCTGTGACCCTCTGTGGGCCTCAGTTCCCAAATATCCCATGGATGTAGAATCACACACAGCCCTGTAGTGTGGAAGTGCTCTCTTGCTGAGCACCGTGGTGCCAGAGGGTCACGGGGTGTTCTCTCCACCTCTGCACCATCACCATCCACACAGCCTCTGATTTCGGTGATACGGATACAATCCCTCCTTCTAAGGCCATCATCTTCAAGTCACCTCACGCTGCCAATGTCAACTACAGCCCATTAGGCAGGGTGTTGCCTGGGCTTGGAGCCATTGTCAGCACTGCCTTGCCTTAAGCCTATGCCACTTCACAGGCCCACTTCCTTCAAGGACCCTGGGCAACTTTACACCACCCATCGGATCCAGAAGCTGCCACTTGGCCTACACTGGGGATCCCAAGTCTGAAGCAATATGCCCTCTCTTTGTGGAACCTCAGTGGGCTCTGCACCAGTGATCAGCCTGACTTCTCCTGATGCCCAAGCACCCAGAGGCAGTACAGTGCCTGGCCCTTGTGGGAACAACTTTAGCCTGGTCCACATATAGCATGGGGGAAATTGCTCAAGGGGCCTCTGTGAATGCTACAGATGACTCCAATCATGGCACTGCTAGCAGTGATGGCATTACATGCAGAACCAGGATGAACAGCTGCAGGAGCAACACCTTGGCCTCTGCCAATAGCCCACCCGGCCCAGTAACAATCACGGCAACTACAACTCCCATAGGGATAGAACGTGGGTTTGGCAGGCCCACTCTGGTTCCAGGTACAGGTCTATATCCCAATAAAAAATATTTCAGATTGAAGACACCCCTCTGTGGGAGGAAGAGAGAGCTGTTTAATCATCACCACCTTCCCTGGTATGGATGTGAACCTGGTGAGTTTGAGTTCTGGGCTGGCTTTCACTACCTTAGACCTGGCTGATGTCCACTGCTCTTTCTCAATGCCCATTTGCCCATACCTGTTTGCCTCATGGCCATTCTTGTCCTCCCTGTCATTATGTACATAAAACCCCATTATTTTTAATCTGCCTGTGTTTGTGTGTCCTCTTTGTTACTTGACACAACTACTGGGGAAGAAATGTCTTACAAATATGTTGGAACTGGACAGTGGTGAAGGTTGTGCAATACTGAGAATGTACTTTATGCCACATCAATAATTTCAACAATGGAAACAATTCTAACATTTAAGTAAGACTAAATCTTAACAACATCATAAATGACTGAGAAAGCATTCAGAATGCACCGAGCTGATCATTGTAAATAAGAGTAAAATCTAAAATTTAATTTACATTAATTCAATCATTGACCTGTCTCTGGGAAGTAAGTGCCGCAATCAGTACAATAATAACTAAATCAGTAAGGCAGGGGAATGGCAGGTGTGGGTCAAGAGCTGACCTCAGGTGGAGCTCAAGTGAGGACCCCTGCTGTGGATCCAGGAGTTCCAGCTGTGTAGCTGGTGGAGCAGGGCTTCCAGGTGCTGGCTCCTGCTGTGGGGCCAGAGCTGCTGAGGGAGCTACAGGTGGAGGTGGCACCAGGTCAGCAGGTGGGACTTCAGCATGGTCTAGAGCTGGCACTGCAGTTGCAAGAGGAGAAAAGATCACTGACTGTCCATGTTCCTTCCTGGGGCACAACCCACTGCCTGCCAGAGACAGCTGTGTGCACCAAGACAGCCCCAGGAAGTCCTCCCAGTCTGCATCCCCACACTGACTGCCCAGTGTCTCAGTGTTACTGGGTCCCTGAGCAGTTCAAAGCTTTGCTGTGTTTCAAGACCCATATCTTACCTACAGGCCCACAAATACACAGACCCATACCACCATCTTCCTCATCCTGGGGCTCTGCCTCAGGGAGTTCAGTGGGCTCCAGCTGGTCCAGTAGAAGCTCGTCTATGAAATCTATCTGGGAGTTCCACTCTAGTGAGGAGTCTGGAACAGCAGAAGAAGAGGACCTGGGGAAGATAGGTAGGTAGCAGCTTGAGACGACTGGGCTTTCTTTCCAAAGCACCTGTGCAGGGCACCTGCTGCTCTGAACATGTGGGCCTCCTGCCTAGTCTGTGCAGTGTCCAGCCCCACTGGCTCCCCATCCACAACGGGACAGGCAGTCCCAAGTAGCCCTGAGAGGCTGACAGAAGGCTTCAAGCGAGGAAGTCCTTATTTAGTGGGATGACACCTCCCTGCCTTCTTAGGGAAGCCTGACACAATGTCTCTCTGGCCCTCTCCACTGGCTGGTCAGCTCCATGAGCACAGGGATTGGTCTGTGCTGGGTCCTTGCACTTGAGGGCACAGGGCTGCTGCTCCATAAATGTCTGAGAGGTGTGTGGTCACTAGGAGTCTGTGAGTAGCAGTGAGTGTTGAGTCTGTAGCTCATGCAGCGATGTGTAGCTCATTTCTCTGTGCCTTTTCTGGCCACCTCTTGGATGCTTTGTATCTACATCTAGGGAGGACAGGCAGTTGTCAAATCGACTGTCATGTGAGCAATACGTGTTCTGCTGCCATGGCTGACTTGTGGCGTCCAACACTGGAACACTAAAGGGGAAGGTTTGCATCTGCTCTGCTTCTATGCTCATGGTTAGTACCTAGAAAAGTGTCTGCGCCCAGTGTCTCTTCATGTGCATTCACGCATTGATGATACCCACCTGCTGTTCCTGTCCGGGAAGTCCTGTTCCAGGGGCTCCATCACGGTGTGGGCCGGCCCTGCCTGCACTGTGCTCACTGAGCAGAGCTCTGCCAGGCTGTCAGCTGAATGATTTCCATTCTATGAAGAGAAAGTTGGACACATGGAATCAGTATTCCAAAAATTGATCCAAAGGGTTTGGAGCTGAGGTGAAGACCACACTCCACATGGTCCACACAGGCTCATGCCAAAAGGGTCACAGGAAGGACAGAGAAGAAAAGGGATTCTCCTATTAAAAGTTAGCATTTACAAGAGAAACTAAGGACTCATCGCATGTTCAGACTGTTTCCTCAGAGGAGGAGAGGTTGTATATAACGCTATGCATGAAGAGCAACAGCCCAAGAGACCTGCATTGACCTCCCAGTGTAGAGATGAGAAGACAGAGGCTCCTCCATGGCATCCCTTTCATTTATGAGGTCACACAGAATGGTCCCCTGGTTTCTGATGAAAAGTCCCCAGGAAAGAATCAGCCTTAGCCTTGGAAGGCCGAACAGCTGTGTTCAAGGCCTCATTCATCCAATGACCAGGGGACCCAATCCTGTGACCTGCAGGGCCTGCATGAGTTCTGTGAGACAGCAAGTGCCAGAGAAAAATAGAGCAAGTATCATGGCCTGATGTGTCGGGTAAGCACAGCGCTGCTTCTATGATGATGTGTAAGGGCTGGAGACGGGGGGAGGGAGGACAGTTGGGGCAGTGCCACAGGGACACTTGGTCTAGGATTACAAAGAGGTGAGATGGCAGAATAACAGCATGACAGGAAATAAAGTGACTTAGCGTCTTTGTCACTTTCTCCTTCTCCCACTAACGTGTGGACAGTGACCTGAACCTGGCAAAGGTAGAGGCTGAGCAGAGAGGACCCCAGATTTTTTGGGAGCAGGACCATAGGCCCGATGTTTGCCAAGCCCTGGAGGGAGGTGCTGATTGTGCTGTGTGGCCCCACAGTCTTCTCTGTCCTCCACGGGCCTCAGTACTGAGTCCCCTCTGCTCACAGGTAGAGCCTGAGCCCAAGCTGGCCCAAGTTGTTATTGTTTGGCGCCAGTGTCCGGTTCAGACCCAGGGCAGACCAGATCCCCAGTGACCAGCTCCGTGGGCGCGTCGTGTGTGGAAGTGTGTTATGCCAGGGCCCAGCAGCTGGCAGGAAGCATGAGCCCTGCCAGATGACCATTGACACAGGTTTTACCCAGATAACCTTGTGCTCCCCACAAGCTCCTTTACAGCTTTCTCCCTGTTGTGGGCAGGGTACTGCCCTCCTCCTGCCAGCCCTCTCCTGGGTGGGTGTTTAACGGACCCCCGGCTCTTTTCCAGGAGGCGGTTAACTAATGATCTTGTCTTGCCCACTACTCTCACACTCACGGTGACCTAAGTAGGGAGTAGTTCAGGTCAACTCACAGTGGTAACCAGGCATAAATGGACCTGTCCAGGACTCAGTGGCTCCGAGCTGCTGGTGGCTGAGCCTAGGGACACCTTCCCTGGGCTCCCTCTTGTCTCTGGGCCCCCGCGGCCTGGGGCTGGTGAGACCTGCCCTGTGCTGCCCATGGCAGTTGGGCAGTTCCTGGCCAGGGTTCTGAAGTGTCTGGGCTGAGTGAACCATCCTCTCACCTGTTGCCCGGTGCTTTCGCTTCTCTGGGTCCTGGGCCTGCGGCCTTGAGACCTTGGAAAGCAGCACAGCATGTTTTCTAATGACTGTCTCCAGCCACGTGACTGGGGAGGCAGTTGTCGCTGCTTTGTGGTGCCAGTTGACTAGAGGGTTCCAGGTTCTGTTTGGACTCATCGCCAGGAAGTGAGGTCCTATGTTCAGGTCCATAGCTGAGCCTCCCCCTCGTATGAAAAGATCCTACGGCGCCCCTCTCTTTTCCTAGTGGAGTTAACTGCTTAAAAAGACCAGGAGAAAAACCTAGAAAAACCGTCTACAATTTTAGACTACTGAATTTCTATGTTTTAATGCAGTGAACAGGTAGCTGCTTAAGATGTGTCAGGCATTCTCTGAAGATTCGGGGTTCAGTGTCATGGTTTAGGTATCTGTCAGATTTGAGGATGATATTCTCTACTGGCTTGATTTTAATTTCATTCCAATTGCAAAAGGGAAGCCGTTGTGAGGCTGTGGAGACCGTCACCCAGTGCGGACGCCGAACACGTGCACACAGCACTTGGAAACTTGTGGCTGCAGCTCTCACTTCCCGTCAGCCCACCCCAGGCAGACCGTGTGCTGTATGTCCCTGGTGGACAGTTTGCCTTTTGTGCCGGTCATGGAGCTGTCACCTTTCCATAGCAGTGCTCTTTTGCAGGTCTTATTCAAGCAGTGTCACCATGCTGTGTTCCACCCATGCTGCCTCTCAGCAGTGGTGGAGCCGTGGCTCGCCATTGTGTGGAGGATCTGTGAGTCCTGCGGGCTCCATCTGCTGATGGCCATTGGTGCTGTTTTCAGTTTTGACCCTTGAATACGAGGCTGGTGTGATGATTGTTATACATTTGCATCTGTGTACTTTTACTTGCATATCCTGTGGAAAATCCTTAGATGTGAAATTGCTAGATCTTATTGCCAGAGTATGTTTCACTTAAAAAAATGGTTTTAGAACAACTCAGTTAATTACAATTCCAGGTTATTGTTGCACACTGACAAATGTTTGAAGTACCTTTTGCAGCAGTTCTTGGAAGCAGACTTGCCGTGATTTTTCTTTTGTTGTTATTGTTGGTATGATTTGCTGAGGATTGTAATATCACGTCCTGGCATGATTACTGTATTCTGATTTTCGTGCATACAATCAGCCTGAGAAAATGCCAGAACATTTCATAAAACTGAGTAGTTTTGTTTTGGAGAAAATTGAAAAAGACAAAAATGTCACCTGTAATCTCACCAAACAAAGCTTTGCCGGATTTCCTTGTGTCTGTGCTTCCCTCATGACACCTTGCACGGGCTTCATCCCCGTGCAGACCTTGGTCTGCTGTCAGGAATTTGCACCGTTCACAAGTTTTATGTTTAATCTTTTAACTGAGATGGCCTCAACATGCTACTAAATACCTCCTCTGAGGATGTGGATATCTTATTATGAAGAGAATTTGAGTGTTCCTTTCCTAAATTTTATTTTCTAATACTAAGAATTAAAGCAGTTTCCGTGGCTGTTGTTGTTTTTAAGTACATTTTCTCTTTTTATTTCAAGTAGATGTTAATAAAAATAGTATGACAATACTCTGCATGCATCTATTAAAGAATGAAGATATTTCATAACACAATAATTAGAGAACAATTGTTAATATGGTGTGCACAGTGATCTCAGAGATTTCTTAATGAGCTAGATTCCCGTGCACTTTTAAAATTTGTTTTTTTAACATTCTGAGACAGGGTCTAGTTAATTCACTAAGTTTCCTAGGTTGAGTTTAAACACGTGATCCTCTTTCCTCAGCCTCCTAGAATGCTAGGATTACAGGTGTACAATATCCTCATTTAGTACTTAACCTTAGTTGTGTATATTCATGGAATAACATATTCTGTTTGGATCTCTAGACACATTGCAGAAAGATTCAATCTAGTTAATATATCTCTCGCTTTATTATCCTATGGTTTCTTTCGCTGTGAATAGGATTACAAATCCCACATTCAGCATTTATGAAAGATACACTTCGTAGGGACTGTGGTCACCATGCAGGTCAGAAGATCACTAAAATTTCTTCTCCGTTGTGACTGAGACTTTGTATCCTTTGATAAACTTTGAATTCTCCATTTCATCATTGAACATGGAATCTGACCATTTTTAACATTAATGTGTCCAAGACGGAGTGAAGGCTCAAGCTATTCAGGTCAGACTGCACTCTAGAAAGACCAGGCCAATGTAAAACACATCTTCGCCGACTCTCACACTTCCAGGTTTTTTTTTTCTATTCAATTTCTGCGTATTGAATGAAGGTTCTTGCACTAAAGTACTTTACATTCTACTTTTAAAAGCCTTTTCAGTTTGAACAATTTTTCAATAAGTGGCTGAACTGCTGAGGCTTCCCTTGAACTTGTGAACTCCCTGCCTCAGTCTCACAGACTGCTGTGAGGCACTAACCCCAGACCTGGTTTCTTCATAGCTTCATTAAAAAATCATTGATTGGGGAAGGAATGGTGACAAATGCCTATAATCCCTGCAACTAGGACGCTAAGGCACCACCTTCACTGGGATTTCCAAAGAGGTAGACTGACCAAAAATAAGAAAGAAGAAGGAAAGAAAGAAAGAAAGAAAGAGAGGAAAGAAGGAAGGAAGGAAGGAGAGGCACTCAAAAGCAAACTCCTAGTGACTATGTGCTTTGGTTTGTATCTGGGATGTTTTAATCTGTGTGTCTGTTCTGGGTGCAGTATAAGATTGTTTTGATGGCTGTCAGTTTAAACTGTACCCTTTAAATCAGGTATCATGATGCCTCCACTATCTTCTTTCTATGTATACCATGAGGCTCTTTGCAGTCTTTTGTAGTTCCATATTCATTTTCATATTGTTTTTTCTATTTCTATGAAAATGTCATGATGTTTTGACAAGAAAGGCATTGATTTTGCTGGTTGCTTTTGGATAGTGTGGACATTAGAACAATATTATTTCTTCTAATTCACAATGATCGTATATCTTTCCTCCTACATGTGCCTCTCATTCACTTCATCAGTGTTGTATAATTTTGATAGTAGAGACGAACTATGTTAAATTTTACGTAAATATCCATTCTTTTTGTTCCAATTATATATTGTGTTATGTTCTTTGAATTTGAGGTGGTTAGGTGGAGGTATAGAAATGGATATCGTGTCTTGCAACACAACTGAATTTGTTCATCATTTCTAACAGAATTTTAGTGGATTCAGGTTTTCTAGATGCAAGGCTGTTTTCAGGAAACAGAGACAACACTTAATTCTTCCTTTCTGTTTGGAAGCCTTCTGTTTCTTCCTCTGGACTGAGGTCAGTAGCTAGGACATCAAGTAGTCCGTTGAACTGAAAGTTGCAAGGTGGGCAACCTTATCTTGCTCTTGACCTTAGAAGAAAATCTTTCAGGTTCTGGCTGTTTGATCATGAGGTGAGGTGTGGGCTTGGCACGTGTGAGGTGTGGGATGTGGGATTGGCACTGTGCCGAGGTCCGTTCTTTCTATACGGTGTATGTGAATAGTTTTTCTGAGGAAAGAATGTTGAATGTTTGAAATGCTTTTTTCCAAATGTGCTGAGGTGTTAGGATGTCTGTGCTTCGTTCTGTGGATGCAGGTTGTGATGCTGAATGATCTGTGCATGAGGAACCATTCTTGCTCTGCTCAGATTGATTGTAATGTTGATGGTGCTGCTTGAGCCTTTTAATGTGGGGTTCATTTAGCTTATGGTTAGGTGGAGGTATAGAAATGGATATCGTGTCTTGCAACACAACTGAATTTGTTCATCATTTCTAACAGAATTTTAGTGGATTCAGGTTTTCTAGATGCAAGGCTGTTTTCAGGAAACAGAGACAACACTTAATTCTTCCTTTCTGTTTGGAAGCCTTCTGTTTCTTCCTCTGGACTGAGGTCAGTAGCTAGGACATCAAGTAGTCCGTTGAACTGAAAGTTGCAAGGTGGGCAACCTTATCTTGCTCTTGACCTTAGAAGAAAATCTTTCAGGTTCTGGCTGTTTGATCATGA